ATGAAATCTGTCACACGGGCTTTATGCCAGTCAGGGGCATGCACTGCTCTCTCTGGACTAGATTTCTGTTGTATGTTGTGAGGATTTTGTTTTGTTTTTAAATACAGCTTTCCTGATTGAAATCAGGCTCAATGCAAAAGAAACACCAGGATCATGCCGCTCTACAAAATCTGCATGTTAGAAGCCTGTGTTGCTGATTTGGAATATATTATTCCATGGAGGGTAAAGAGGATTTGCAGGTTTAAAGTCCTGTTATGCAAATCAGTTGTCTTCTGTTCTGCTTTTGCATTAACACAGCCTGTCATAGTTCCTCCGCCACGCTTCATCTTCTATTTCCAAATCTACATTTTTTCAGACAATTTGATTTCAAAATTATATTTACATTCTTAACATCTCTTAATGAGCTTATTTCATTGGTAGCGTAAACCTAATTATGAGTCACACCAGGGGCTCTTTTGCTGTGAATATTTCCTCCAATTTAGCCTGATCAAAGATTGCTGGGTTATGTTAGAACCACAGCTTCAGACATTGCACTCATGTAGCTTAAGAATGAGTTAAATATTTTAAATTGAAACAATCTGCTCAAGGTGAGTTGAATTTTTGGTAGATATCAGAGACTGAGTTCAGACTATCATTAAAAACTGAGAACAGTCCTTAACTGATACATCTGGGATGTATTACACAATGTTTTCCTTTGGAGGGTGTCTCCAAATGGGCAAATTCCAATAGCCGTTACCTTGAAACTAGCCACCCTCAATAATGATGATAATTAGTGGATTTACATTATGAATTTTAAACAGTAGATTTTTTATTTTTTAACTGGACTCTTTGTATTCCAGGTCTTTTATGTATTTTACAACTGCTTTTTATGCCTGTTTTCATTGTTTTATCATTTCATTGACCACATCTGCTCAGATGTAAAATGGAATCCGAGTCCTTTATTTGGGTTCTTGATTTGCAGAGGTGGTAACCTTAGCACCCAGCTGCCCAAGGTGTTAGCTCTTCACTCCTCACTTTACAGGCAGCTAATGTGCAATGGTAAAAGAGGTGTGGCACTGCCTAAGTGCTTGAGGAGGCATTACCACTTCAAATGTTTTCTGACCAGATTTTATATGCTGTCAGTTAATTGCTGAGAGTTATTCAGGAATTTAAATGTTTATGTTCTCTATACTGGGTTTAAATGATAAGCAAATCACCGTGCTTAGTGACCAGCTCCTCCTGAACAGATGACTGTCAGTCTGGCCCATTCATCTCTTAAAAAATGCTTAGGATCCCATTCATATGCTGATAGATTTTTTTTTTTCCCCAATAACCTCTGTGCTGTACTTCAGAGAAAAAATAGTTTTTAATCTTGGGTATGAATATGCAGAACCATCATTACAGCTGTGAAATAGAAAAGAACTTGTGCTTGTGGTGAGAAAGGAACTCTGTGGTACTGCCACAGATAGGTTAACAAGCTGTGATCGTCCTAAGCAAAATCACCTGAAACTTCTACCAGTATGGATGAGCCAGGGGTTCAATTTAAGCCTGTTCTACTTATAAAGATACTTGTCTCTAGTAGTTTTCTTAGACATGACTTGTTATTTACCCTCTGCTTAATACTTGCTGGGTTGCTAGTTGACCTGTTCCTGTCACATTATTACCTCTTGCCTGCCTCTGGTCTTCTGTGCTGCTGGTGAGGTCAGTGCCTGGCTCAAGTAGCTGACCCCCTCAACTTCTGTTTGAGAGAAGCCCTATTCTTACTGCTCCTTGATGCTCAGTGGTGAAGCCCCATGGAAGAGCTGTCTTCCTGGTCATACTGGGGAGGGAGCCAAGTGCCCTGCCATGTCCTGCTCCTACTAAACACTTGGCAAGAGGTGGGTGCCTATCTTCCCTTGCTACTGCAGAGGTGTGCTGGAAAGGATGGAGCTACTTCTCTCCCTGGATAATTTTTTTTGCAACTTTTAATTGCAAATACCATTGTTATGTAGATGTTACTGCTAGTCTGTGTCATACAGGAGACTGTAAAGGACCCATATGCCCCAACCGGGGGGGGTGGTGTAACTTCATGATCCCTCTGCAAAACTCAAAAAACCTTTTGATTCTGCTAGTTTTGTGTCTCAAATTTGCATAGAGTTGCTCCTGATTTGCCCAGGAGTAGTGAAAGGGTACCTAATCTTTAAGCTTGTGGTTGAGAGCTGCATTTAATTTTTAGTAAATATTGATTCATGTAGTCTCTAATTTATACATACAGATAAAAGGCTAGAAGAGACAGAATGTAAAGGAAGCATCAAACAAAAGCACAGCCTTTTTATAGCCAATTAAAAAGAAATATTATCCTAATGAAAACTTCCAAGGAATGTAGTTCAGTGGGTGAAATCAGATCAAAGAGACTCAATAAAAACCCATTTTATATGAAATGCATTATTCATCAATTAAACAATATGTACTGTGTGAGGGAGCACCATAATATTATGCTGACAACAGAAATACTGAGAGGTTCAGTCTGTTTGCCTTAGTTTGCATCTTACTTCCTAACTTATCCTGTTGTTTCCTCAGGAATCCTTTTCCAAGTAAAGCACTACTGAATTGAATGTAACTGCACTGATAGGATCTCAGTAGACAAGAGCAATCACTTAAGGATAGATGCTGATACTATTTTATGTTCTGTGCTGTTGTTCTTGTTTGAAGCAGTGTAAATCTGTACTAATGCCATCTAAGTAAATGGAACTGATCTGGTCTCAACTGTGTTTTGATTTCCACTCAGAGGAACCCATAGCAAGATACTGATCATATCAATATGCCAGCTAGGTAAAGTAAATATATATTTCCTTGCTGAATTATGAAGCAATAGCAGAGCTACTACAACTAGAAGCAAAGGTTAGCAGCAAAATGTGACCCAGGAAGATAAACTTTAAGTTCTCATATGGAAATATTGGTATGGATGTACTTGCACATTTGCCAGGCCTGTAACTGAGAAAATGTCACTAACTTGCCAAGTCAAAAATTAAATATGTTTCAACATGGATAAGGGAATAATGTATGGCCCTGAGAAAGGCTGTGCTAAGTTGGGGGGCAGGGGCAAAAATCACTACTAGACCAAACAGACTACCAGTAGAAATAGTTTTAACAGTACTACCTGAATAGTTCAAATAGCTCTACCAATAGAAATGCAAAGATACTTTCTTCAGGTTGCTTTCCAATCTGCAGCTGGGGGATGTCCTGAGGCAGAGGTCATAGCTACAATTTTATGTTTAAAAAAAAAACAAACCTGAACTAACAACAACCTAATGGCATGTTATTTCATGAAATAATTTAACTGCATTATAAAATTCATTTTGGCTTCCCAGACTTCCAAATCTGGCACACTCTGTGTTTCTGGAAACACTACCCTGACCTTTTTCCTTTCTTTAAGTTTAAACCTGTTTTGTTCTGATGACTCTTTGTCATAAAAAGACCAACATTTGAATAATTATTGACATCTGTCCTGCTCTTAATTTTCAATTTATATCTTTTCACCTCATTAGGATGTAGAAATAAACCTGATTTCTGTATTAAAACTGTGGGCTAACCATAAACTCATATACAGCAACAAAGCATTGATGTAGTAAAACAGTGATTTCTGTTTGTTCTAAACTGTCACTAATAATTTAATGTATTTGATTCATTAGTTGATGTAAATACTAAGGTGGCATATTAAAAGAACTAATCACAATGACTCCAAGATCTTTCTTGTGGTGATAGTTCAGGCAGTCATACTGTCTGTGTAAGACTGTCTTTATTTGTGCCTGACTGCATTACAAAACCCTTTTCTGACAATGAGTTGGAAATTCAGTATCATGAGATTTCTCCAATTCTTCAAGATCAGCTTTAGATTTACTACACAAAATGATTTTGTGTATCTCTGTATGACACTGTCATATCCCTATTCACCTGCTTTCCTCCTCATTAATGAATAGAATGTCTACTGCAGATTCATGTGGTATTCGGCTGACAAACTGTTTCTTGAGAAAGCTAGCTAGTCTTTCACCTTTGTGATTTAAGGCCTTATTAATCCATAACAGGATCTATCCTCTTACTATGTGACATCTTGCTTTTTTTTTTCCCCCTTCTAATAGCTTTTGGTGAATGACCTTGCTAAAAGCCTCTGAAAATCACCCCTTTTATCTACCTGCGTCTGATTCAAAGAATGCAAATAAATTTCTGAGACATGATTTCCCTGTACAAATCTGTTGCAAGCCATTATTCAATTTGTAATTTCTACTTAATTCTGTTCTGTATTATAACTTCTACCAAGTTGACTGGTTTCAAATTCTGATTTACCAGTTTGTGGTTTCTTGCAACCTCCTTAGATTCCTTTTTCTAAAAAAAAACCAAAAACTGGCCTTGCACTCCTGTGTCCTGTGCAGTGGTGATCAAGTGTTTGATCACTTTGCATGTGACTTCATTCTCTGGGCAGGAAGCCAGTGACACAGGTAAGTTTGGAGCTCTGGCACGTTCTCTCTGTGCATGGCTTTGACTTCAGAGTGCACTGCAAAGCACAGCCTACATTTACTCACAATATGGCTGAGAAAAAGGAGGAAGAGTAGAAATGTCTGTTCATAAAGTGAAAGATGGGGCGGTTAAAAACTTTAAAAAAAATCCTTTGAATTCTGGATAAGTGTCTCTGTAGTTCAAAATGAACGTGTATTGTAAGACCTGTCATTACTCTGGTCTAGAAGAGCTGCTTTGTACTTGGTGCTCCACAAATATTTACAAAGAAAAATTTAGATTTGCAATATAAATATAAGCAGAAATGGGGAAATGATTGTCTGTCTTCTTTGTTGTAATGAGTAGCTGAAGCACAAAGACTAATTGCCCAAGACTACATTGGCAGTCTGTGAGAAACCCAACTTAACTTTCGTAACTTAGTCCTATCCCTAAATAATGGGTTTAACCTTCCCCTTTAAGTATCAATTATCTTCCTATTGTGGGAAGTGTTATTTGTACTTTTAATTGTATTTCCCTTATGTATCTTACAGGAATTGGTGTGCTTATGTCCACACCAGACTCTTACCTACAGTTGTCGTGGACAACCTGGAAACCTTCTCATCAGGCAGAGCGAAGCCTTGCACTTGGCATATTGGATCCTGTCCTCAGAGGTGTGTACAAGTAGGCAGAAAGAGTACTAGCAAGTACTTTAATCACCACCAGCTGCATAATTAACACAACCATGACTTTAGAAATTAAAATGAAAACAGAATGGAGTAGATTAGCATGCTTCCAGGCTTCATCTTCACATGTCTCTATAGCAAGTGTAGATCATAGCTCATGATTTGTTAAGCCTTCAGTCTGGCACCCTTTAATCAGTTCAAAGTCTTCAAATCAGCCCACTACCTGCTCCCCTCTTCCAGAGTGCTGCAAAGAAAGGTGAACGTGTACAAAGGTTTAAAGTACATGTGGAGAAGAAAATCCTTTCCGTGCAATTTTCCAGGCTTGTGCTTTTTTGGAGCAAAAGGCTTCCCTGAGAGGCACACATTTTTGTTATTTCTTTCCTGGGTGCTTACTTCTGTCCTTGGTGGTTTGGTTGCCTCACTGTATTCTCCAAACATCTAATTGCAGTAGTGAGTGAGATTGGGTTTTAATGCATGGGCCTGGAAAAAGGCAAACTGAAACAGCACCAACAAAACAGAGGTTGTAACATTTTTCCCTTGAAAATTTTCAAAAGCTTTTTACAAGGTATTTTAACTGTTCTAAAAATTGTCCTCTAGGTGGTATGACAGAACACGCTTAAAGGTTTAGGAGAAACCAGGAATAGAGTATTCTCAGGATCTGGTGAATTTGAAATACAGTCCATAGTGTTGCAAAATTGTAAAGTGGACCTGCTGGTTGAAATGTTGCCACTTTTTTTCCCATTCAGTCCAGAAGATTCACAGTAAATCTGATTTCTTTTATTTTTGTAGGAAAATTAGCTCCTTGTTGTGCTTCTCCTGTAAACAAGCCTCTACTATATACATTTCTGAGACTTGTCTATGTGGAGAGTTATTTTTCAAGTAACTATTCCTGATTAACTCCTTTGATGGGCACTTCATTATTATGAGTGTTTTCAGGAATGGATTATGCTAATGCATAATAAGGTAGCTTTATCATAAAATAAGGCCATCCATACAGCAAAATAACCGAGAACTCTCTTGATTTCAGTTCACCTTAATCTTCATTGAGTTCTTGCTGCTGAAAAAGCCATTTCTCAGAGGCAAAGCTGATTGGGGACACATGCAAAGCTCCTGCCAGCTGCTATGAATTTTAATATATATAATACTACATCCCTTGTGAAGGGGTGACAAGATTAATTACAGTGTAAAACAAGGTTGCATTTTTTAATTCATTGGGAAGACAGTTTTTTGGTCTGACAGCCTTCAAATTTGTCCCCTTTTCTAGAATGATTTAGGCAGGTTTTGTGTGTCCAAAACAGTTCTGTGACCATTTTATCGTTGTGTTTTCTGAGATTTGATGTGTCCCTCATGTTCATGTTTATCAACTAGCAGAACTATGAGATATTCTTTTTATTCGAACTTTGTATTTAACGTATGAAAAGCAGCAAATAGACTTGCTGTAGCATCTTCTGTACGCCCTACTGCAGCATGTTTATTCTGAATTGACTTCTCTGTCAAGTTAAGAAATCTAAGAGAAGTTATGGGGTAGCCAGGACACGCAGACTGTGGTGGAACACAAACAAAATTGCTGCTGCCTCTGCAGTTCCATGTTGTAAAAGTAATAACTGAGGCATTATAATTACATACACATATCCTCCTTACGTTGACTTCCAGAGTGGAAAATGTCATGCTTTATTGGATTAGTGTCTTGTTTAAAATAGCCAGAATGGAAGGCATCCAGTGTGCTCTAAATGTGAACGGATGTGGCATAAATTCATAGTGCATGCTTTTTTTTTTCATTGATTTCAAAGAAAATGGTGTAGCACAGTTGTATTTTTTGCACATTCTGTCCTGTTTAGTAGATATTAATTATCATGTCTTCCATAAAAGTTAGTAGTGTTTAACTCCTGAATAAGGTATTCAGGGAAGAAGTCTGACAGCACTAAATGGACGTCAGGTTCTTTTAAAATCCATGCAGATGATCTGAGGGCTGTAATATTAAAACTGTGATCGCTATTGAAACGCCAAACTCTAGTTAGGTTTCACTTTCAGTTCCAAGCAGTTAATGAAAGGATATATTTGACATGAAAGAGAGCATAATATAGTTGTGCAGGTATCCTGCAACTCCTGTTTGGTCACCTAAAATGGATTTAAAATGTTCTTATTTTGCAGGTCCCAAGCAGCAACACACCAAGCCTACAGAATCAAACATAAAATAGTGACATCGCTGGACTGGAAGTGCTGTCCTGGCTACAGTGGGCAAAACTGCCAGTCTAAAGGTGAATAGAGTTGTAAGGGTTTGAAACTATTCACTTCAACAAAAGAAGACAATGCTGTCTGATTTGTGAACCAATGGCTCTGCTGAAAATCAATACAGTCCTTCCTGTTAATATAAAACCAGGAAAAATGGATGGTAAACTAAAATGCTTTAGGATGTTGACTCTTCCCTGCACATGAATTTCTGGAGTAGCTATGCAAAATGTCCTTTCTTCTCCTCCATTATAAATAAAACTCATAAAATCTTCAGCCTTATTCCATTTTGCTAAAATATGGAGTTTGCATTCCACAGCGTCTCTACTTTTGACCTTTTAGTTATTGAGTATTGCAGCACTGGGGAAGTAAATTCCAGGTCCTCTATTGAATACTTGCTGTAAAATTCATCTACAGCACTGTGACTCTTCTGGCTTTCAGTTTCAGGCTTTAAAAAGATGTTTTATATATGATAAAATAACGTATCAGCTTTGTTTCCCCCTGAATTGAGTAGGACTTTTGTTGTTCATTACAACAGTGACTGAAGTTTACTAAGTATTACACATGATTCCTGTATAATTGTGCCCTTTTTTATGACAGAATAGAATGTTTTACCTCTGCCCTGGTGATCAAACATATAGCAACGTACTGTAGTTTAACATGTATAATAGCTATTTCTTTGCTGCTGGCCTTAAACAAGTAGCCCATGAAAAATAAGATACAGCATCAGCATACATATTTTAAATAAATGAATATTACAAGAAAGGCCATTAGATATGGTAGAGAATTCAATCAGCAGTGGCAAAGTAGAGACTATGATTAAAAATTAATGTACAGGAATGAAGAGAAATCACTGTTATTCACATCCAAGAGGGAAATCTCAAGGCTGAAGAGCCAGAACCTCAGCACGAAC